AGTTGTATGGTGGTGGGGACAGCTGTACATTCTACCTGGCGGGAAACGCCGCCTCAGCACCAAGTGAACACGGTCGGATTTGCATTATCCAATCCTCTAAATAGCCAGCTAGTGGGTGAACCCACTGGCATCAGCGCGCGACTGATGACTCTTCGCCTACTACTCAGAAGAGGTAAGTTTACCACATTCACAACCACGTACCGCACGACCAAATGTTCTATCCTGATGACAGTCGTGTTTAGTTCTACACTCAGTTGTACTTTGTGATACGGTCTGTGCCGAGGAGCGACCGACTGTTTCTGCTGGGTGATTCCAACGCGCGCGTTGGGTGTGATGCATCGGTGTAGGCAGGTGTTGGTCCGCATGGCGTTCATTCAGCGAATGCAAACGGTGACAGGCTGCTCTCTTTGTGACACCCACGGCCTGGCGATCACGAACACTCGGTTTGCACTGAGTGCGAGTGATATAGCAACTTGGACGCACCCACGGAGTGTTTACGCTCACCTGCCCGACTGTGTCATCGTGCCTCAACATAACGCGTAAAGTGCGCACGACACGTGTACTGCGTGGAGCTGAGTATGGCACTATTCACAATTTGGTGCGAACCAGATAGTACATATACTTTCGTAAATTTATATATGTTACTCCTGCCGTGAACCGGCGTAAATATACTGTTATTTCCCTAGGTACTGTGGATAAGAGGACGGGGCTGTAGAAGGCAATGGCTGCACGCCTGTGTGAGGTGGAATGCACAGCCACAATGGGCGACCTGTGTCACTATCTTCGCGACCAAGTGACAGCTGCTGTCGAGGGGACTATCGGGCGCGCAAACTGTAAGTGACCCGATTGGTTTGATGAGAACAATACGACAATTGGCGCATTGCTGTCTGAAGAATGCAGCGTTCACTGTACATATGGCAGACCCCAGTGACTTTGGGAGGAAGAGTCAGTTTGGCGAAATTTGACGGTGACTGACTCGAAAGCTCCGTCGCATTAACAATACATCATTAACGAAAAATGCGAAGCAGTTGGAGTCCTATGCCGAACGCCGCCAACATATTAAATTCTTTGACTCCTTGAAGGCGGTGTTTGGACAACGGTTGGAGCCGCTGAGGACACTGCTCGCTGGTAGTTCAGGCGCTGCCTGCGCACAGACTACTGACATAATACAGATCTGGGGAACGCACTTTGGCTGTCTCAACCAATCGTTCAAAGATTGACTAGTCTGTATTGAACGGCTTGAAGCAACATGATGTGAAAGTGAGTTGGGCGAACACGCAGACACTGGATGAGACGCAGAGAGTACTTGCTCAGCTGCGAAACGGCAAGTGTGCTGGTGCAGACGGGATCCCGCCTGAAGTATTGAAACACGGCAGACCTGCGTTGGTGACTGCGCTGCACCACTTGGTGCAACGCGTGTGGTTTTAGGAGGTGCCTCCTGAGTTGAAGGATGCCCTTGTGCTACCACTGTACAAGGACAAAGGTAGCAAGCAATGTGCCACGAATTCTTCTAGTATCTACTTACTGAATTGTGTGGGCAAGATGATTGCCCGAATCCTGCTCAACCGCCTCATCAGTCAGGTTGTAGAACCGAATGCGGCGAAAGAGCAATGTGGATTCCGTTCGGGTCGCAGCGCCAGAGACATGATGTTTGCGGCCCACCAGTTGCAGGAGAAGTGTAGAGAACGACACCAGCCTTTGTACTCACTTTTTATTGGTTTCACCAAAGCATTTGATACAGTGAACCGTGAGGCATTGTGACTGGTGTTCGGTAAGTTTGGTTGTCCGAGTAGGTTGGTAAGTTTAATTGTATGTCTGCACAGTGGTATGTGAGCGAGGGTGCAGCTGAGTGGACAGACCTTGGATGACTTTCCACTTGTCCCTGGTGTGAAGCAAGGTTGTGACTTAGCTCCCTCCCTGTTTAATATATATCTTCATGCTATGATATCATGTGCTTGTGATGTGACTTGTACTTTCGGGGTTTGTGTGGGCGCCATATTGATGGTGAGTTACTGAAACTCTGTCGTTTCGATGTGAGAACCCTAGTTTGTGAGACAATTATCCGTATGTTGCTGTTCACTGACGACTGTGCTTTGTTTGCGCACAGCGCGGATGAGTTGCAGCCCAGGACTAGTGTCCTGGCTTCGACAGCGCCCAAATTCGGGCTAACCATCAACACAAACAAAACTGTCTCTTTCACCCTTCACCAGAAGTGCAATCTGCGATGTTGCTACAAGTCAGCATCGCAGAGGAAGTATTGGAAGACACCTCCTGCTTCTGCTACCTTGGGAGTATGGTTTCGACTGACCAGCATTCGGGAAGCTTGGATACCGAGTGTGAAACAATCACCAGCTTACCTTTAGCACAATGCTGATGGTCTACTAGGCCATGATGCTATTTTTTATACGGCAGCGAAACGTGAGTGATGTACCGGTGAGATATGGTATTTCTCGAGCGTTTTCATCAACAGTGTCTGCGACGGATCCTGCGCATCGGTTGGTGTGACAGAGTTGCGGACGCGGAAGTTTTGCACCGAAGTGGAATATATGCAGTGGATTGCATACTTTTGCTGAGACACTTTAGATGGCTCGGTTATGTGTGCCGTATGTACTCAACACGGATACCGAAGCAGCTGTTATACGCTCAGCTTAGTGTGGGGAAGCAGCATCTGAGGAAACCGAGGCTTTGTTACTAATACATGATCAAAGTGAGCATGTTACGTTTTAATGTTGATTGCAGGTCATGGGAATCGAAGGTGGTTGCTCTGCGTGCATAACACGATCTGATCACGATGGCAGTTGTCGGGTGCAGAAGAAAGCGCTCGTGCATGCGGAGAAGAAGCGGCAGTTGTGGTAGCGATAGGCGCCGATACACTGTACACCATCGACTTCGAGTGTATGATGCTGTAGCACATGCGGTCGCGAGTGCCTGAGTTAGGCAGGCCTAGTGGGCCACGAGCGAGGCCACTGGGGTCCAGCATCGAAACGACCATGGGTACTGCTGAGAGCGTAAACAGAACCGGCGCAGCGTTGGTAGGTATGCTACATGCGTTTCCATTCGATTTGCTAACCGCTTGCTTGTGTGCTGAGTTTCTTTATTTCAGCTGATCGGTTTGGTATATCGTCTTAATGCTTATTTTGTAACTTCATTTTCATGTCTACCTGAATAACTTACTATTTGCTTGCACACGTCGCTTAAACGACTAGTGGATAACTTCGTTAATTTTTCGCGTTCGTTGCATTTTCAATCTCTTCCTGACGGATTTGTTGATAACCAGTTTATTTCATATACTAAGTTAGCGAAAAGTTATGTCGACAAATCCGTACGCTTTATTGGATATATTTTATTAGATATTCTCGTTTCATGTGGTTAGCTGCCGCTTGACCTCCCCGGTATGGCTGCGCTTGATATAAATGTTGACAAGGTGCCTACCTGTCCAACATCACCTCCATTACTGACTCAGCATGCTACTATTCGTTGCTGGGTGGACGGGATGCACGGCCCTCGTGGTCGTGCTAGACTCAAAGAGTGGTTCCATCCAGTGTGGAGCGGACTACGACCCAGCCACCGCCTTGTGCAGGTTTAGTACGCATTGTTTCCCATTTAAACATGAATGATTCTGCTCTGCTAGTTTAACGAGTGTGGGCCGGCTCCGTTGATGAAACGTGGCTTCCATCCATATGCTTTCCTGTGTTATTCCATCGAGTTTACACTGGATATGGGACGTGTGGGTGGTGCAACACAAGCCACCCATGGTCCCTCTGTAAGTGCAGGCGTTCTACGACTGTCCTATAGAGGCCGCAGTGACAGGCAAATCCAGAACCGGATACTGCCAACCATGTATATAAGCATCCATTTTCAATGTAGAAATTAAGCCGTTCAAACCATGGAAATTTGACTGGGAACGGGTATATGTACAACCACGTCAGAGTAATGAAAAACCGAAAATAACCTTTTTTGACCCTTACACACGCCGTTTCTTCATTTGTTTTGTTATTATTATGGGGTTCACGCAAACTTGCGCGCATTGTTTCCACTGTATTCGGTTTTATGCCCTTATTTCGATTACTGTAGACCATCGGCATTCTTCATTTTTCGGCTCCTAATTGGTAAGATGTACTGGACCAGCGATTTGATGCTTTATCGCGAGGTCGTCGGCTGGCCCCCACACGGGGGCTCTTCCACTACAACCCCGCATGCACAAATATGGCGCGGGTGGAACAGCACTCCATCACACTGGCTCACTTTGACCATTAAGCCTATTTCCAATCGAAGATTCATTCACGGGTGTAACACGCGACCTCATGAACTTGCTTATGTTATTAACCGATTCCGCCAAACGGAGGACGGGAATTCGTTTATTTTCTTACCATTGCTTACTCCGACATGAAAAGTTGGTTGGTCGATCACAACTCGGTATACTTTCTTGGAGAGAGGAATACCTGCGAGCCAATACACAATACGGACATTCAGCCTTGCGGTAACCCTTGAACTTAAATAGTCACTTAGTTTTATTATTTGGCTTCTGCGTTAACTGACCATGAGATACGGAGAGAACATTCATTCAGTCTTTTACGATGTATCAAAGTAATATCCCAAAGGGTTTAACAAGCGCCTCTTGAAGACGGCTGAGGCGATTGCAATCAGAGTGACTCAGCCAGAATTGGACAAGCAAAGGGCTCTTGTCCAAACCCTTGGCCGGGTGGCATTTTCCCCTCATCGGACGCTGAGAGCAAACGAGGATTATCTTAACCCCCCTGGCTGTCACGAGACCTGCCTTGAGTGGATGGATGTTAGTACTGATTAAGTTTACCAGCTTTGTTCAAAACATTTTTACTAACTTAAGTACTGCTTTCACTAGCACGCTTAGTTGATTTACATCTTATTGTAAATGTTTTGCCTGAAAAAGTTATCGAAAAGAGAGCGCCTCTTCGCAATTTGGATTTCTGCTTTTATTATGGGCATAAGTTACGAATTTATTTGTCCCTTAACCGCTTCAGATATGGCTTTGTCGAGTTCATGACCGAGGAGGACGCCGATTATGCAATGCGAATAATGAACATGATCAAGTTATTCGGAAAACCCATCCGTGTGAACAAGGCGTCTGCGAATCAGAAAAATTTGGACATCGGAGCCAATATTTTCATTGGCAATTTGGACCCGGAAGTGGACGAGAAGTTGCTGTACGACACTTTCAGTGCTTTCGGGGTTATCCTCCAAACTCCGAAAATTATGCGCGATCCAGAAACAGGGAATTCCAAAGGATATGCCTTCATCAACTTCGCCAGTTTTGAAGCTAGCGATGCTGCTATTGAAGCCATGAATGGGCAATACTTATGCAATCGGGCGATCACTATTTCTTATGCCTTTAAAAAGGATTGCAAAGGAGAACGCCACGGGTCGGCCGCTGAACGTCTTTTAGCTGCACAAAGCCCATTATCACAAGTAAAATTTCTCTCTATATATACATATATTTTGTGCTACTGTCTCAGTGGATACTTCTGTTACGTCCGTTTAAAAACCATAACAGCGCTGCGTTCACAAATGGCACCTTATCGGGCTTGCTCTAGCTTTTCAACCTTCAATGCATCGGCGTCGCGCCCTTTTTGCAGTGTTCACTGGTTGTCAGGGTGTCAACTTGAAGTCGGCTGTAAAGAGCACTCCTATTCATACTGCTGAACTGTTGAATATTGTTGTTGACTACCACAAATTTGGTGATCATTATACTAGGCGTTTTTACGTGGTCTCCTTCGATCCCCTTACGATTGTTTCTTTCGGTTATGCTAAACCTCATCTGAATCCATTTTCTCTTTTCAGGCGGAACGTCCGCATCAATTGTTCGCGGATGCGCCCCCTCCACCTCCACCGCCGCCGCCACCACCACCCACTCTTTTGTCTGCAAGTATGGCACCAATAACATCAATTGCGATACCTTCTCTGACGATGACTTCTTTACTGATGCCACCGCCACATCCGTCTCTGCAAGGCGCACTTATTGGCTTCCCTTCATCAGCTGTCTCCGTCTCGATGCCACCACCACCTCCACCCCCGCCACCTACGATACAGACAGTTCCCGCCATTTCTCTTGGTTCACTATCATCAGCTTCCTCTTTTCCAGCTCCTCCGCCACCACCTCCTCCACCGTTCCAAGCGTTTTCAATGGGTATGGATGTCGCCACAACCACTGGACAGTCAGTCTCATCTACCGGGGGCACTTTCCCACCTCCTCCGCCTCCTCCCCCTCCACCACCACCGCAATTTTCTGCTGAGATGTTTCCACCATCAACTGTTTGATGATAGTTTGATCGTTAGTCTTGATGCTGTCGGTTTTTTGCATAAATGCCATTCTCATCGAACATATTTGTTGTCCCTGTTCTCAGTCACTATTTGAAGTTCCCTCCCGCTCCCCCCGGCGCTTCACGTCCCATGTGTGTATACAATTAATGATATCATAATCCCCTACTCATGAGTACAACAAAAGATGTGTTTAGTTTGCAGTGTCAAGGTCCCTTAGGTAAGGTCGGTTTCATTAAGTGCCGTGATTCAGTGCCCCCTGCTGACTTCCGTGGCTTTTAAGCATCAGGCATACGTTGGTACGTCACACCAACGCTTCGCGACCACCAATAGTCGCGCGCAGACTAGGAATCCTACAAAGTCCCCCGCATCCATGCACGCTTGAATCGTCGAGCTGTGGGTTACAGGGCATGCTCCCGATCGACCAGCCGGTGAAGGTTGATCTCCACTTAACTTCCCATATACTTGACGATAGTCACAAGACGTCACTTGACTATGGTTTTCAACTCCGGGGGTTGTCCTGACATTTAGCTCAATACACTCTTAATCGACTGGCTGGATGGACTCAATATGAGTCCTTAAAAGGAATTCGTAAAAAATACGAATAATTACTTGAAATACTGGTAGCTCGGGTTGCTTGTTCGATTACTGCAATATTCATCGAGCTGGGTAATTTGATTGCAAGTGTTTCATCACCATTCGAGTCGACATCATCAGTACAGAGGAGTTGGCGATTTTGAAGCCGGAGATCGTAGAGCGCAACTCCCTAGCTAGGTTTGCCTTCCACCAGGTTCTGATGCAAAATTGCTTATTTTTTGCACTAATTTTGTCGCTTCGAATAGTGATGAGATGTTTGTAACCAAACTGTCCAGCACGGCAAACACAGCGACAACCAACAATGTTACTGTTTTTAATGCGTCTACCTCCAGCCCTCATTCGGTTGGCATTGAGTAAATGCCCAAACAAGGTCGAGTTTGCATTTGATAGTCGTCTTTTTACCTTTTCTTACTGCCTCTGTACTAACCACTACTAATAACTCCTGATATCTATTCGATAAATGAATAAATTGGTCTGTTTCGTTACAGACGGGACACGTTCTCATTTGAAGAATAATCATTTGTACGAATAGTTAGTAATATCGTTTTCGCACGCCCTACTACTTCAAACAGCTGATTGTAGTAGGTAGACAGGTTCAGCTGGAGCTGTATTCACTACATTTGTCCCTCTCGGTTCTGCTCGCTTGTTGACTTGCGCTGGGCAGTGTCACCTCGTTAAGAATGTTCCTATTTTATTATTTCTTAGTTTTTGGAAGCGATTTCCTGGTTCGTACACAATGACAAACTGCTAATCAGATGCAGGAAGGAAAATGAATGGTAGCAACACAAGCGTTCTGCTATGTGTGATGAATAACGGGTAAAAATTTCTGCTTGCCACTTTTGTGCACTACCTCTCATAGATATCTGTCTCATACGAAGCTCCTGCCAGTCACCAATAGTCACTACGCATCCGGGAATGCACTGTACGGCCGTTTCCTCCTTTCAGACTCGTCAGTAGTGTGTATTCCATCTGAGCCTGGAACCCACGATCCGACTCTGACGAGTCTCTTTCTAAATGTTATCTAATTCCCCTTGCATCACTCTGTAGATATTTGTTTGCCTATTAACTAGCCATATTAATGATGTTAGATGCCATTTAGAGAAATGACTAAGAGAAGACATTTGTTCCCAACCTTAGGCCTCACGCTCACAAGTGAAGGTATATTTTCGGAACGAATGGACTTGTCTTCTGTGGAGGTTTTGGCACCAGTTATCTTCGACTTGTAAGGTGTAGATGACCCTGAACGAACAAGCGTGCTAGCTGTACACTTGCGTACACCCAGTTTTTTCGCTATTTCTCAACTGCATTCTGTTGTACGTCGCTGGATGTATACTCATTCGTCTTGAAATGAAAAGCACCACCTTGTGATACTATTTTCACGAGAACACTACCAGTACATCATACATTTACACGGAACTGTCAATTTTGGGCAGTGTTTCACCCACACTTACTCACAAATAGCTGCGTAGTTCCACATGTCAGACAACTTTAATCTCACTTGATAGAGCACCCCAGCAACGTTCGAAAGAACTCTCACCCTTTCCAGTTCATCACTGTGGGAGAATCTACGGAGTAATCTTTTTTTCCTGCAACAATACCTTATCAACCCTTTGGCAAGTCTGCATTGCTGACTAGCCTCCTGAACATGCGCGAGCAATAGACTAAGCCACCATGCCGTTGTGTGATAGCAGCACGGACATACAGCCGCACTCTGTCGACAAGCATCACGATCACAGCAGAGACGCGAACTGTGTAAACTTGTTTCAGCTTGACTGCTGCTTACTATCTGACCACAAGTGGCGTCCGTCAGGGTTGTCCGATTTTCCCGTTTTTGTTCACTTTCGTCGTGGACTCTATCATGGCGTGTTCCCTGACGGAATCTCTCGATGTGGGCATTGAAGTGCTGCCTGGTGAAAGATTAGTTGATCTTGATTATACGGAAGATATCGTCTTGCTTTTCGACGATGTTGCGGCGGCACAACCAACCCTGAAAAGCCTGGCTAGAGTCGTCCCATTATTTGGCATGCACTTTAAAGTGCGAAGTGTTGCTGCAGGACCACCAGCCACTTTATGACCCCTTGCTAACGAGGAACTCGAAGTGGTTGATCAATTCGTTTATCTCGTCAGCTGCATTAGTAACAATGGGAGCATAGAAACTGACGTCAGTTCACGCATTGCAAAGATCAGAGCTGTCCTCTTGAACATGCGGCATGTTTGGCGACAGAAGGGAGTTTCACTCCGTCTGAAAGGCCGTGTATACACAGCCACAGTGAGGACCGTCCGGCTCTATGATAGTGAAACTTCGCCCCTTCTGTCTGAAGACTTAAAGCGCCTTCAAGTCTTTGATCCTCATTGTCTGCGAAGCATTGCTGGTGCCGGATGGCACCAGCGCGTCCGCAACAATGATGTGCGTATACACGTACTAGGTAGTGCTAATCATGTTTTATAAACCACCCCTTAGTGTTTATCACAACAACTATCTCACGTCCCAACAAAGCATAGATGACGTCACAGAACGCCGTATCCTTACATTCTTCAGTGGAAATGTTCAAGGAATAACACCGAAACAACCATCAGTATATAAAAACCGCTCATCAGATGAGGAAAATTCTACGCTGTTGCACCTCAAGATATGAAGTTGGAACTGATTTTTGGGTCAATAATAACCACTCGACCTACTGTAGAACTAGTAAATACTAGTCCGAGATGGTGCCCGGAATTAAGCGCGGATATCAGAAAGCAATTGGAGTCGGACACAGTGGATTGTATTCGATAAACTACCAGAAGATGTGGACGGATGGAGCGAGACAAGAGCAACACGTCAGCGCTTTAACTTACAAGACGGTCAAGTATCGAACCAGATGTAGGTCAACATGGATGTAATGTATGGGAGATTAAAACACGTAAGAATAGTGTATAATTGGTCATCAGCGGAATTGTATACAAAAGATGCGACGTATCTTTTGGGGCGCTACAGAGCTCCCTCCTAAAAGGCTGAACAAAAGAATCCTTCGAAGTCGAAAATGACGGGTGAATCGAAGTTGGTTGGGCAAAATCGTGCCGAGTGACTGGGCGTTCGGGTCAAATGGAGGTTCGCCGGAAATCGGAGTCCGCTGTGCCGTTTGTGATTTAATATTTATTGATTGCATGGCAGGGTGCATTTCGGCGAACCGTTGGGGCGGGAGTGTCAGACTACAAAAATCTGGCTAGCCCAGGAAATGGCCGACAAGACTTCAACCTCCGCTGCTGCTAAACGGTGCGCTTGGAAGTGGTCTTTCCCAGCCGCGCCAAAACGACCCTCCTCCCACGAAGACGCTACCATCGTCCGACGAAGAAACGGTCGTCGTCCCGCGGAGAAACGACCAGCGTTTGTTTCAGACTGTCGCTGGTGACTACTTCGTGTCACCCACCGAGGTCATTAGTGTACGTCTTATTCGACGGTTTAGCACTTTTAAAGGTCCTATGTACGGCGACTGGAGAAGCTGGCGAACACCGTCTGCGGGAAGAACGTGTGAACAAGTAGACAGCTTTTCGGGCACCTCTACTGGTGTCTCGTGCGATCGAGGAGCGGGTGGACGTAACTCACGCATCTGGTGGGCCAATCGCTCGGTGTAACTTCCGTACTTAAAAGAGGAAGTAGGAGATGATCCTACCAGCTGTCCGGGCAATCGCAGCGTACAGCCGTAGATTGCGGAAGTCACGATGGCAGGACAGCCGTATTGAGCTACCCAGCTCTCCAGAAAAGATTTCGCTACCGTTTCCGAAGAACAGTTAGGTATGGGAATAACTTCCGGCCATCTAATGAATCAACCGACACAGGTCAGAGCCTTTCGCAGGCGGCGGAAGACCTAGGAGGTCAACGTGCTCATAGTGAAAACGTGCATCTGGCGTGGGAAATGTTCCTACTGTGCTTTCTGTGTGCTTATGCACTTTCGCGCGTTGACACGGAAGGCAAACGGCTGCCCAAGTACGAACATCACGATTAACATTGCACCAGGCGAACCGTGTGGGTACGAGTTTAACCGATTCACGAACGCTTGGATAAGACAAGTTGTGAAACTTGTCGTACACGGTCTGCCAAGACTCGCGTGGGACGACTGGGCACGGCACGCCCAGAGATAAATCGTAAAGTATACTTCCGTCTGATGATGTCAGCGGAACGGGTCGTATGTCCAGTGATGGATACCTGCATATTATATCAACCTCTGGATCTTTGGGTTGCGCTGCGGCCATGACTGTCAAGTCGATAGCGGTGCCGGCATCCGCAGAAATCGCTTGGATTCAGGAAAGTGCGTCGGCGATAGTATTGTGCACACCTGAGACATGTCGTATATCCGTTATAAACTGAGTGACAGTCTAGGTGGCGCGACTCCCTTGGAGAGTATCGGTCCGTAGTCGTGCTAAGCACATAAGTCAGGGGTTTGTGGTCGGTGAAGATGGCAAATGAGCGACCTTCTAAGCCGTGGGAAATGACGTATGGATAAATAAATGCCTAATAGTTCCCTACCGAAAGTACTGTAACCAGATTCGGCAGGTTGCAAACGTTAAGAGGAAAATGACAACGGCTGTCAAGTGTCACCTACCTTTTGTTGTAAGATCGCTTC